AGTGGTAACTACAGTAATAAGTATCATATTTATTTGAGCACGTTTCAAACAACGGTATAGAATTAAGATTTTTATTTTCTCATTATTATTTATTTATTTGCTGGATGTTAAGTAGACAGCTGTGCTTTGAGCTGTGCATTATGGAGGCTCAAAGTCTAGTTGAGTTCCACCTTAAAACCCGGAGTAGAGAGCCCTATTCAGTGTGAAAGCGCCTGACTACCCCCTCCCCTCCCTACCCTCCCCTCGGTGAGAAAGTGTGTCAGTAGGACAGAATTGCATGACAGGCTACCGCGCCTGACCGATATCCCACACAACCAACCCCAGACAGGCCCTGCCCGCCTTCCAGCCAATGGGAGCTGCAGCGGCAGAGAGGAGGCGGGGCGGTAGCTAGTGTGACCTCCCTGAATGAGTATGTTTATGAAATGCTCGCAGACGAGAGTTATATAACCGAGCAGAGTGTTCATGAAATGCTCGCAGACGAGAGTTATATAACCGAGCGGGGGATTGGAGAGAAAAGAGAGGAAGAGGGCTGAGGGAGGAAGAAGGCAGGAGAGACTTTTCCATTGCATACCTGCAGCTAGGGCTGGGCAATATGGCCTGAAACGATATAAAGCTAGATTATGTTGAGTGTTTTCTCTAAATAAGCTTTGTTGTACAATTAAAGGTCAAATACACTGCATTTCAAACAGTCAGCAATAATCTAATGAATTCAGGACGTGTGAAATTATACATAGGCTAAATTATAAGCCTTCCACAACCATAAGACCCACTAATATATATATTTTTTAATCAAAATAGTTTAAACTGCTTTTCTTTTCAATAATCACTGATCTGGCTTTCAAGTCAGTCTATGAAAATGCCCTTTTTGTTACAAATTTAAATAGAACCATGCATAATGCACATTCACTAATAATGACTAACTTCTTCTAACAGTCATTATAGAAAATTAACACAGGTCTCATAAATAAACTCTCAAACACAAGCCCACGTGCTAGTGAGTAGCCAGCTAATCTTTAAATTTAGCCAACTTGGTTTTATTTGCTAGCTAACAAGGCAGAACAGTTTAATTGTTATGAACACACCCTTCTGTCCGTCTCCAACTGTTTGAGTAGCATGCTATCCTGTCCACTTTGTTCAGATGTTGAAATCAAGTGGCCTACCTTATTTCTCAGAATGAGAACAAGTTGCCAATTCCATATATAATTGTGTTGTATGCTCATTGCTCGTTTATAAAACACAGACTAGACAGCTAGTAGTATTTGGCTAAAATGCTGCTAGCGGTACTTGTGACCGAAATGCCACGCGCGACAAACTGAGCATTAATTTTCCAGAATCTGTCTGCTCTGAATGTCTGCTCTGCGCGCAATTTCAGTAGTTGAGACATAAAAGGGTATCATTAGAAAGGGTAACTTCTCCTCTATTACAGTAAAATAATGTCTCAATGTGTTTCGGTGTCCATATCACCAATTCTGTTGGGCCAATTCTGTTGGGCCAAACCTCATATGCAAATAGCAAGTTGAAACAGTGATCTCTCATCGTTGTTGTTGTGAGTGGCAGGTGGTGGGCTTGGTGCGTGTGTAAACAGAGAGGAAGATGCAAACAGAGAGGTTTCAATCTTGCCAAAATCTGTCCAAAAATAAGGCCAATGCCTTTCTATGGGCTTCATTTGGACCTAAGTTTGTCGCCTGCCTTCCCGCCTTTGGGACAGAAACTCCCACTGTTAGCGCAGAGACATGAGCTTCTCATCATTATATACAGATCTCTGGTGTAAATGGGAAGGTGCACACAGCACAGAGGAGCAAAGGAGACGAGACCAAAAATACAAAAAACCTTGCGATGCAGGCATTTGGAATATCGTGCAAAAACATACATTCAAATGTATCAAATTAATTATATATACCGCCCAGCCCTACCTGCAGCTGCCCCAGTTGCTCTGTGTATTTTAGTCATTACATAGAGGAGAGAACAGCAGACTTTTCCAATTTTTTTCATAGAGAGAGTGGGAAAACAAAACAAATTTAAAGTGACATTTTCATGTAATGCCGCAACAACAATGCATTAAATCTCTGCGAGATTAGCCATATGTCTGTGTGAGTTTCCATATGTCCATATGAGTTTCCATATGTCAGCCTCTCAGAGGGCTAAAGATCCCACACTCCAAATGTCTGCCTCTCAGAGGACTACAGATCCCATGCTCCATAAGTCTGCCTCTCAGAGGACTACAGATCCCATGCAGGACTACAGATCCCATGCTTCATAAATTACACAGATTTGTTATCTCTGTCTTTGGCACAAACATTAAATAGACTGGCAGATTGAGCAACGATAGCGTATCACATGAATGAGTTAGTTGTTTCTATCTCTGTGTAGTACTATGGCTGCTGTGAAGTAAAACAAATGTAAAAATGTAAGTAAAATAGCCGACCGGCTCCATCTATTTAAACAAACAAAACAAAATCTTCACATACTACTGCCCTCCATTTTAGCCCCTTATATGGGCCCCTTGTATGTAAGAGGGAGAGAGAGTGTGTGAGGGGACTGGGTTTCTGACACATGACTCTGTCTATTTCTGTCTTTCACCTCACTGGGTTCACAGACAGACCGACAGCGTGAGAGACACACGGCCAAGTTTATTTTCAAAGTCACTTCAATCAAATAATTTCCTTGCTCTTTTTATTGCGTACTATGTTTACTTGTATTCTTCTCTTTGCTGGAGCAATCTGTATTAGTATGAAAGGTGGCACATACGGTTGAAGTCGGAAGTTTACATACACCTTAGCCAAATACATTTAAACTCTGTTTTTCACAATTCCTGACATTTAATCCTAGTACAAATTCCCTGTTTTAGGTCAGTTAGGATCACCACTTTATCTTAAGAATGTGAAATGTCAGAATAATAGTAGAGAGAATGATTTATTTCAGCTTTTATTTATTTCATCACATTCCCAGTGGGTCAGAAGTTTACATACACTCAATTAGTATTTGGTAGCATTGCCTTATTTATTTAAATTGTTTAACTTGGGTCAAACGTTTCGGGTAGCCTTCCACAAGCTTCCCACAATAAGTTGGGTGAATTTTGGCCCATTCCTCCTGACAGAGCTGCTGTAACCGAGTCAGGTTTGTAGGCCTCCTTGCTCGCACACGCTTTTTCAGTTCTGCCCACACATTTTCTATTGGATTGAGGTCAGGGCTTTGTGATGGCCACTCCAATACCTTGACTTTGTTGTCCTTAAGCCATTTTGCCACAACTTTAGAAGTATGCTTGGGGTCATTGTCCATTTGGAAGACCCATTTGCGACCAAGCTTTAACTTCCTGACTGATGTCTTGAGATGTTGCTTCAATATATCCACAAAATGTTCCTTCCTCATGATGCCATCTATTTTGTGAAGTGCACCAGTCCCTCCTGCAGCAAAGCACCCCCACAGCATGATGCTGCCACCCCCGTGTTTCACGGTTGGGATGGTGATCTTCGGCTTGCAAGCTACCCCCTTCTTCCTCCAAACATTACAATGGTCATTATGGCCAAACAGTTCTATTTTTGTTTCATCAGACCAGAGGACATTTCTCCAAAAAGTACGATCTTTGTCCCCATGTGCAGTTGCAAACCGTAGTCTGGCTTTTTTATGGCGGTTTTGGAGCAGTGGCTTCTTCCTTGCTGAGCAGCCTTTCAGGTTATGTCGATATAGGACTCGTTTTACTGTGGATATAGATACTTTTGTACCGGTTTCCTCCAGCATCTTCACAAGGTCCTTTGCTGTTGTTCTGGGATTGATTTGCACTTTTCGCAACAAAGTACGTTCATCTCTAGGAGACAGAACGCGTCTCCTTCCTGAGCGGTATGACGGCTGCTTGGTCCCATGGTGTTTATACTTGCGTACTATTGTTTGTACAGATGAATGTGGTACCTTCGGACGTTTTGGACATTTCTCCCAAGGATGAACCAAACTTGTGGAGGTCTACACATTTTTTTCTGAGGTCTTGGCTGATGTCTTTTGATTTTCCCATGATGTCAAGCAAAGAGGCACTGAGTTTGAAGGTAGGCCTTGAAATACATCCACAGGTACACCTCCAATTGAAGCTTCTAAAGCCATGACATCATTTCCTGGAATTATCCAAGCTCTTAAAAGGCACAGTCAACTTAGTGTATGTAAACTTCTGACCCACTGGAATTGTGATACAGTGAATTATAAGTGAAATAATCTGTCTGTAAACAATTGTTGGAAGAATTACTTGTGTCATGCACAAAGTAAATGTCCTAACCGACTTTCCAAAACTATAGTTTGTTAATAAGAAATGTGTGGAGTGGTTGAAAAACTAGTTTTAATAACTCCAACCTAAGTGTATGTAAACTTCCAACTCCAACTGTAGATAAGGTATGGTTAAAGTCCTTATTTATCCATTTGAATACCTTTCAGTCTGCTGCTGTGACACTCAGAGCATGCAAGGCGGAGCCAAACTGACAGCCTGCCTCTCACTTCACACGATGTTGATAATAGCCATATGCCAGGTCGAAACCTGTCAACCTGTTGCAAATGCCAATATTCAATCAATCAAACTGTATTTATAGAGCATATTTCTTACAGGGGATGCATTTCAAAGTGCTTAAAAAAATAAAATTATAAAAGGTGAGAAAGATAACACGAAACATTTTCTAAATGAGACAAATTAAAATAGTCCTCCCTCCGTCGTATCAGAATGTTGTATGTGAATGTTGCAACATGTTATGCAATGAAATCTGGTTATGATCTGAGCTCTTCTTGGCCGTGCCCCAAGAGAGATTGGCCTCAGCAGGGTGTTACTCAATAGTGAGAGGTGTTTGTGTGTGGCCATATTAGTCCCAACTCCTAACCTTATTTTGAGATCTACTAGCTGTAGACTTGGCAGGGCAGTAATATTTTGATGCATTCTCATTAGTTTTTTTATACAGGTTTAATAACTCACTTGATGGGTTAATCTTCACAGCTTTTTTAATATGTCCCCTCTCCCTGTCTCTACAGCTCAAATAGAAGTAATACCCTGCAAGATCTGTGGGGACAAGTCCTCAGGTATCCACTATGGGGTCATTACCTGCGAAGGCTGCAAGGTGAGCTAGTAGTAGTAGTAGTAGGGTTTCTACTTTACCTTCTTCATGTGTTCTACAGCCTGTGCTAAACAAAGTATATCATGGGAGACTGCCTTCAACGATATAAAACAAAGACAAGCTGCAATAGAAAATATCCTTTGTTGTGATCAATGAAATAATACTTCCGTTCTATAACATCTAGATTTATAATAATATAATAATATGCCATTTAGCAGACGCTTTTATCCAAAGCGACTTACAGTCATGCGTGCATACATTTTTGTGTATGGGTGGTCCCGGGGATCGAACCCACTACCTTGGCGTTACAAGCGCCGTGCTCTACCAGTTGAGCTACAGAGGACCATTTATGATGCTGGAATTATATACATTATGTAATCATTTGACTCATCCCATTTTGTTTCTTTGTGTAGGGATTTTTCCGCCGCAGCCAGCAGAACAATGCCATGTACTCGTGTTCCCGCCAGAGGAACTGTCTTATTGACCGAACCAACCGCAACCGCTGCCAACACTGCAGACTGCAGAAGTGTCTGGCTTTAGGCATGAGCCGGGACGGTGAGTCACACACACACACACAGACGTGCGCGGAAAGTATACATTTGAGCCCAGAGAAAAACTCATGACAGTTATGCAACACTTGTTTCCACACAGATATACTATTTATACAGTGCATTCGGAAAGTATTCAGACCCCTTGACTTTTTCCACATTTTGTTCCGTTACAGCCGTATTCTAAAATGGATTAAAGAAAGTCTACACACATCCTCATCAATCTACACACAATACCCCATAATGAGAAAGCAAAAATAGTTTTTTAGACATTTTTGCTCATATATTACAAATAAATAACGGAAATACCTTATTTACATAAGTATTCAGACCCTTTGCTATGAGACTCGAAATTTAGCTCAGGTGCATCCTGTTTCCATTGATCATCCTTGAGATGTTTCTACAACTTGATTGGAGTCCACCTGTGGTAAATTCAATTGATTGGACATGATTTGGAAAGGCACACACCTGTCTACATAAGGTCCCACAGTTGACAGTGCATGTCAGAGCAAAAACCAAGCCATGAGGTCGAAGAAAATGTCTGGAGAGTTCCGGACAGGATTGTGTCGAGGCACATATCTGGGGAAGGGTACCAAAAAATGTCTTCAGCATTGAAGGTCCTCAAGAACACAGTGGCCTCCATTATTCTTAAATGGAAGTAGTTTGGAACCACCAAGACTCTTACTACAGCTGGCCACCCGGCCAAACTGAGCAATCGGGGGAGAAGGGCCTTGGTCAGGGAGGTGACCAAAAACCAGATGGTCACTCTGACAGAGCTCCAGAGTTCCTCTTTGGAGATGGGAGAACCTTCCAGAAGGACAACCATCTCTGCAGTACTCCACCAATCAGGCCTTTATGGTAGAGTGGCCAGACGGAAGCCACTCCTCAGTAAAAGGCACATGACAGCCCGCTTGGAGTTAGCCAAAAGGCACCTGAAGGACTCTCAGACCATGAGAAACAAGATTCTCTGGTCTGATGAAACCAAGATTGAACTCTTTGGCCTGAATGCCAAGCGTCACGTCTGGAGGAAACCTGGCACCATCCCTACCGTGAAGCATGATGGTGGCAGCATCATGCTGTGGGGATGTTTTTCAGCGGCAGGGACTGGGAGACTAGTCAGGATCGAGGGAAAGATGAACGGAGCAAAGTACAGAGAGATCCTTGATGAAAACCTGCTCCAGACCGATCAGGACCTCAGACTGGGGCGAAGGTTCACCTTCCAACAGGACAACGACCCTAAGCACACAGCAAAGACAATGCAGGAGTGGCTTCTGGACAAGTCTCTGAATGTCCTTGAGTGGCCCAGCCAGAGCCCAGACTTGAACCCAATTGAACATCTCTGGAGAGACCTGAAAATAGCTGTGCAGCGATGCTCCCCATCCAACCTGACAGAGGTTGAGAGGATCTGCAGAGAAGAATGGGAGAAACTCCCCAAATACAGGTGTGCCAAGATTGTAGCGTCATAACCAAGAAGACTCGTGGCTGTAATCGCTGCCAAAGGTGCTTCAACAAAGTACTAAGTAAAGGGTCTGAATACTTATGTAAATGTGACATTTCCGTTTGCAAAAATTTATAAAAACCTGTCTTTGCTTTGTCATTATGGAGTATTGTGTGGAGATTGATGAGGGGGAAAAACTATTTAATCCATTTTAGAATAAGGCTCTAATGTAACAAAATGTGGAAAAAGTAAAGGGGTCTGAATACTTTCCGAATGCACTGTATAGATAGATAGATAGATAGATAGATAGATAGATAGATAGATAGATAGATAGATAGATAGATAGATAGATAGATAGATAGATAGATAGATAGATAGATAGATAGATAGATAGATAGATAGATAGATAGATAGATAGATAGATAGATAGATAGATAGATAGATAGATAGATAGATAGATAGATAGATAGATAGATAGACTTACATTCTGATTCTTCCCCTTCTTCTATCTCCCTCCAGCTGTGAAGTTTGGCCGTATGTCTAAGAAGCAGCGAGACAGCCTGTACTCTGAGGTTCAGAAGCACCAGAAGAACCAGGAGGTTCTGAACCAGGAGGTTCTGAGCCAGGGGTGCCTGAACCAGGGTTTGTCCCTGACCAGGGAAGACGTAGCTGGGGGAGACAGTGAGGGGGACAGGCACAGGGAGCTCAGTCACTCCTACAGCAGCGGCGGCTCCAGCTCCACCCTGAGTGACCTGGATGACATCCCCGACCTGTTTGACCTGCCCTTGACCCCGGAGGAGGCCCACGAGTACTGCAGCCTGGAGCTGCTGGGAGGCCACGGCGGAAGCACCGGGAACACCTCCAACTCTTCGTCATCGTCATCATCCTCTAACAATTCGTCCAATCAGAACTCGCCACAGCAGAATCTGCTGGATGTCACAGACGCCAATGGGATCAAACATGAGTACCAGATGTTGTCGCACACACAAGCCGCGCTGCTGGAGCCACTGGCCGATGACTGCACTCTTATGGATATAGGTACGAAATCTATTACTATTTCTATAACTAACATCACTAACAAAGTTTCCCAGTATCAAGTAAACATGTTATCTGTAGTGGTCTTGTATTCATATGGTCCTGTGTTGTTTCTGTTTCAGAGCGTATCACCCAGAGTGTGTTTCTGTTTCAGAGCCTGTTACCCAGAGTGTGTTTCTGTTTCAGAACCTGTCACCCAGAGTGTGTTTCTGTTTCAGAGCCTGTCACCCAGAGTGTGTTTCTGTTTCAGAGCGTGTTTCTGTTTCAGAGCGTATCACCCACAGTGTGTCGTTTCTGTTTCAGAGCGTATCACCCAGAGTGTGGTCAAGTCCCACTTGGAGACGAGTCAGTACAGTTCTGACGACCTGAAGAGGCTGACATACAGTGGGATTCAGTACTCACCTGAGGAGACCCGCAACTTCCAGTGCAAGGTGAATACACACACTCACACACTGCTACTCAGGTTAATGTATTGCATTATCGTTGTATTAAATTATGATTTCTCTATTTCTCCAAGTCTGAAGAGTTTATGTGGCAGCAGTGTGCCCACCACATCACCAATGCCATCCAGTACGTGGTGGAGTTTGCCAAACGCATCACCGGCTTCATGGACCTATGTCAGAACGACCAGATCATTCTGCTCAAAGCTGGTCAGTACCTTTATACATGCAGATTACACGTACTGCTCAAACCACTTCAGGACATGCACACACTGATCGTTATGTGAGACATGAATGCTCTCTCTTACACACACACGTATGCAAATAAACATTATTGAGCAAACCCTGTAAAATAGTGTCATTGAACCACATGAAAATTCCTGTCATGAGTGAAGAAATGGCGTAAGTCCTTTATCTTGCTAACCTTGGCTCTTCTTGTCCTTCTTTTCTCCAACCTTCTTCCTTTTGTGATCGCTTTGTTTTTTTACAAACCACACATCACTGCTCCGACCATTTAACTAAACCACACATCACTGCTCCGACCATTTAACTAAACCATATCTGAAACCTACGTTTATACCATCCAACAACCGTTATATCTGCACACACACAAAAACGTGGATTTGACAATAACTCCATATTATACCATTTGTAAATGTTTGAAACCCTTTTTGACAAGTCCTTGATAATCCTTATTGTCCTGCTGATTTAAAAAAAATTCAAATGACTTACAATCTGGAATATTTACTTTCTGTTGGATGTTTGTTTTTTGTGCATGTTGGAGCATCTTCTGTGCTCTTGGTATCACCCCATCCCCTCCCTCCTCTTCCTCCATCTCTCCATTTCTGTGGCTCTCTATGGTTGTCCTTGCAGGCTGTCTGGAGGTGCTGTTGATCAGGATGTGCAGGGCGTTTAACGCTAACACCAACACCATGTTCTTTGATGGCAAGTTTGCCTCTGCCCAGCTCTTCAAAGCCCTTGGTAAGCGTCTCAGATAGGCTAGCCTACTCCTTGTCTGATACAGTATTTAGAATGTATAGAGCTGATACTGTTAACTACTCCAAATACAATTCAGTGGAACATGATGTGTGTATATATAATATTGTAATTCTTCTCTGCAGGTTGCGATGACCTGGTCAGTGCCGTGTTTGACCTGGCTAAAGGTCTCTGCCGCCTGCAGCTGACCGATGAGGAGATGGCTCTGTTCAGCGCCGCTGTCCTTCTGTCCCCAGAGCGACCATGGCTGACTGACAGCCAGAAGGTCCGGAAGCTTCAGGAGAAGCTCTTCCTGGCTCTGCAACACAGTCTGCATATGAGCGGGGCCGCCGACGAGAAACTAGACCAGGTAGAAGGGATCCAGCTTTTGTCAAATTAACGTCAGATTTGACTTTTCGTAGCAGGTTAGGAGAACTTACGCAGCAGGTTAGGAGAACAAATGTAGCAGGTTAAGAGAATTGTGTTAAGGTTAGGAAAAGGGTTAGGGTTAGCCAAAATGGAAAAGACCCAGCACACTCCACAGTTCGATGACAAAAAAACACAGCCCACAGCCTCTAGCCATGGCCAAGTTGTCATTGACTGAGATCCACCATATGGGAGTCACTTGTGTAGCATATGTCTCCTCTCCAAGAACTTTATGATACGGTCCTCTACAGAATATCCCAAACAGCTGCATAAGCATATTTTATGGGGCCTTAAGGCCTTATGCTGTGTAGACATTCTTTAAATCAAACAAAGACAAACAGTTAACCAGTCTAGTGCTGTAGAGCAGATCTATCCCATGCAGCTTAGCTTAAGTCCATACACATTTCATGCGTTCTCTGGATTTCTCCCATTCCATCCCACCAAGTCCATAGATATTGAGTGTGTTTTCCTGACTGATCCCGGTGTGTCCTCTCCTCCTGTAGATGGTGTCCAAGCTGCTGCTGATGAAGTCCATCTGTAATCTCCACGTCGACAAGCTGGAGTTCTTCCGTCTGGTTCACCCCGAGACCGCATACAGCTTCCCACCACTCTATCGGGAAGTGTTTGGGAGTGAGATCTCTCTCCCCGACTCTACAAACAGCTCCTAGAGATACATATGGAGTGAATGTATTAGAGAGAGGCAAAGTGTGGAGGTATGGAAGCGAAAGGAGAGATTGAGCGAGGGATATAAATATTGACCTCAGAAATAACCAGCAGTTAACGAGACAATCCAGGACTTAAAATACTCAGTCTCCCAGCATCCCATGGCGTTATTCCTCCACTATCCCAGCAGGCCATGCACCTTACACTACAGACTTCACCTTCATGGTCCTTTTGTACCGTACTTTGGACAAACTAATGGGCAATATGCATATTCTAGTGTGAACATAGCTAATTTAGCATTAGAATATCGGTTTACGATGCTCCCCAACCCCATCATGAATGTACCTCACTGACAAGCACCAATGCACCTGCCAGAACCACATACCGAATGTACAGTGGGGAGAACAAGTATTTGATACACTGCCGATTTTGCAGGTTTTCCTACTTACAAAGCATGTAGAGGTCTGTAATTTTTATCATAGGTACACTTCAACTGTGAGAGATGGAATCTAAAACAAAAATCCAGAAAATCACATTGTATGATTTTTAAGTAATTAATTAGCATTTTATTGCATGACATAAGTATTTGATACATCAGAAAAGCAGAACTTAATATTTGGTACAGAAACCTTTGTTTGCAATTACAGAGATCATACATTTCCTGTAGGTCTTGACCAGGTTTGCACACACTGCAGCAGGGATTTTGGCCCACTCCATACAGACCTTCTCCAGATCCTTCAGGTTTCGGGGCTGTCGCTGGGCAATACGGACTTTCAGCTCCCTCCAAAGATTTTCTATTGGGTTCAGGTCTGGAGACTGGCTAGGCCACTCCAGGACCTTGAGATGCTTCTTACGGAGCCACTCCTTGGTTGCCCTGGCTGTGTGTTTCGGGTCGTTGTCATGCTGGAAGACCCAGCCACGACCCATCTTCAATGCTCTTACTGAGGGAAGGAGCTTGTTGGCCAAGATCTCGCGATACATGGCCCCATCCATCCTCCCCTCAATACGGTACAGTCGTCCTGTCCCCTTTGCAGAAAAGCATCCCCAAATAATGATGTTTCCACCTCCATGCTTCACGGTTGGGATGGTGTTCTTGGGGTTGTACTCATCCTTCTTCTTCCTCCAAACACGGCGAGTGGAGTTTAGACCAAAAAGCTCTATTTTTGTCTCATCAGACCACATGACCTTCTCCCATTCCTCCTCTGGATCATCCAGATGGTCATTGGCAAACTTCAGATGGGCCTGGACATGCGCTGGCTTGAGCAGGGGGACCTTGCGTGCGCTGCAGGATTTTAATCCATGACGGCGTAGTGTGTTACTAATGGTTTTCTTTGAGACTGTGGTCCCAGCTCTCTTCAGGTCATTGACCAGGTCCTGCCGTGTAGATCTGGGCTGATCCCTCACCTTCCTCATGATCATTGATGCCCCACGAGGTGAGATCTTGCATGGAGCCCCAGACCGAGGGTGATTGACCGTCATCTTGAACTTCTTCCATTTTCTAATAATTGCGCCAACAGTTGTTGCCTTCTCACCAAGCTGCTTGCCTATTGTCCTGTAGCCCATCCCAGCCTTGTGCAGGTCTACAATTTTATCCCTGATGTCCTTACACCGCTCTCTGGTCTTGGCCATTGTGGAGAGGTTGGAGTCTGTTTGATTGAGTGTGTGGACAGGTGTCTTTTATACAGGTAATGAGTTCAAACAGGTGCAGTTAATACAGGTAATGAGTGGAGAACAGGAGGGCTTCTTAAAGAAAAACTAACAGGTCTGTGAGAGCCGGAATTCTTACTGGTTGGTAGGTGATCAAATACTTACAGTGGGGGAAAAAAGTATTTAGTCAGCCACCAATTGTGCAAGTTCTTCCACTTAAAAAGATGAGAGAGGCCTGAAATGTTCATCATAGGTACACGTCAACTATGACAGACAAATAGAGAAAATAAATCCAGAAAATCATATTGTAGGATTTTTAATGAATTTATTTGCAAATTATGGTGGAAAATAAGTATTTGGTCAATAACAAAAGTTTCTCAATACTTTGTTATATACCCTTTGTTGGCAATGACACAGGTCAAACGTTTTCTGTAAGTCTTCACAAGGTTTTCACACACTGTTGCTGGTATTTTGGCCCATTCCTCCATGCAGATCTCCTCTAGAGCAGTGATGTTTTGGGGCTGTCGCTGGGCAACACGGACTTTCAACTCCCTCCAAAGATTTTCTATGGGGTTGAGATCTGGAGACTGGCTAGGCCACTCCAGGACCTTGAAATGCTTCTTACGAAGCCACTCCTTCGTTGCCCGGGCGGTGTGTTTGGGATCATTGTCATGCTGAAAGACCCAGCCACGTTTCATCTTCAATGCCTTTGCTGATGGAAGGAGGTTTTCACTCAAAATCTCACGATACATGGCCCCATTCATTCTTTCCTTTACACGGATCAGTCGTCCTGGTCCCTTTGCAGAAAAACAGCCCCAAAGCATGATGTTTCCACCCCCATGCTTCACAGTAGGTATGGTGTTCTTTGGATGCAACTCAGCATTCTTTGTCCTCCAAACACGACGAGTTGAGTTTTTACCAAAAAGTTCTATTTTGGTTTCATCTGACCATATGACATTCTCCCAATCCTCTTCTGGATCATCCAAATGCACTCTAGCAAACTTCAGACGGGCCTGGACATGTACTGGCTTAAGCAGGGGGACACGTCTGGCACTGCAGGATTTGAGTCCCTGGCGGCGTAGTGTGTTACTGATGGTAGGCTTTGTTACTTTGGTCCCAGCACTCTGCAGGTCATTCACTAGGTCCCCCCGTGTGGTTCTGGGATTTTTGCTCACCGTTCTTGTGATCATTTTGACCCCACGGGGTGAGATCTTGCGTGGTGCCCCAGATCGAGGGAGATTATCAGTGGTCTTGTATGTCTTCCATTTCCTAATAATTGCTCCCACAGTTGATTTCTTCAAACCAAGCTGCTTACCTATTGCAGATTCAGTCTTCCCAGCCTGGTGCAGGTCTACAATTTTGTTTCTGGTGTCCTTTGACAGCTCTTTGGTCTTGGCCATAGTGGAGTTTGGAGTGTGACTGTTTGAGGTTGTGGACAGGTGTCTTTTATACTGATAACACGTTCAAACAGGTGCCATTAATACAGGTAACGAGTGGAGGACAGAGGAGCCTCTTAAAGAAGAAGTTACAGGTCTGTGAGAGCCAGAAATCTTGCTTGTTTGTAGGTGACCAAATACTTATTTTCCACCATAATTTGCAAATAAATTCATTAAAAATCCTACAATGTGATTTTCTGGAAAAAAATGTCTCAGTTTGTCTGTCATAGTTGACGTGTACCTATGATGAAAATTACAGGCCTCTCTCATCTTTTTAAGTGGGAGAACTTGCACAATTGGTGGCTGACTAAATACTTTTTTCCCCCACTGTATGTCATGCAATAAAATGCTAATTAATTACTTAAAAATCATACAATGTGATTTTCTGGATTTTTGTTTTAGATTCCGTCTCTCACAGTTGAAGTGTACCTATGATAAAATTACAGACCTCTACATGCTTTGTAAGTAGGAAAACCTGCAAAATCGGCAGTGTATCAAATACTTGTTCTCCCCACTGTACATATTAACACTCTGGGACAGTTCAACTGGTCGAATTAGAATCATTGTAATTCTATGGTTCTACTTAACAGACCCAGGGTTCTTTCATTTATAGTCCCAAAGACACAGTTCTCAGCGGTACCCGTATGTAGGCTGCATGTACAGTACCAGTCAAAAGTTTGGACACACCTACTAATTCCAGGGTTTTTCTTTATTTTTACTATTTTCTACATTGTAGAATAATAGTGAAGACATCAAAACTATGAAATAACACATATAGAATCATGTAGTAACCAAAAAAGTGTATATATTTTATATTTGAGATTCTTCAAAGTAGCCACCCTTTGCCTTGATGACAGCTTTGCACACTCTTGGCATTGATGTCTTCACTATTATTCTACAATGTAGAAAATAGTAAAAATAAAGAAAAATCCTTGAATGAGTAGGTGTGTCCAAACTTTTGACTGGTACTGTATGTTGAACATGTATGTACTCACCAGCCCTAAGAGACCAAGATTATTATTCAGTTATTTCTCTATTACATATGAGGATATAAACAGGTATGATGCTACCTGGTGCTGGCCTTATCGGTCAATTATCCTTTATTGATCATCGCCAGCCGACAGGTTTATAGCAAACTCACAGAATGGTCACACACACACACTCACAGACGTAGGCACGTGTTCTGACAGCATTTGGTGCTGCCCTTTGTAGGCTTTAAAAATGCAATGAGAAACCTCAGTCCCTCATCGACTTCCCTTGAGGGAAATGCCAGTGATCTCAAGAAAAGCAGACTCTTGTACATGTCTTTTTTTGGGGACTGTTTTCCTCTCTCAACTGGACTCAGGTTTCCATGGCAACACCCCCCCCCCCCCCCCCATAGCAACCCAATGGGGTTACGTACTGTATGTCATGTGACCATTGGGGAGGCTGAACACTCTTTGCATAGTGAACACTGCCAAGGTAGGCAGCCCAATCACACGCAGGCAAAGGAGGAGAACTGTACTGTACTGTACAGACTATCTCTAGTAGAATGGCCCAACATTGTCAATATTGATGGAAACGGACCCTTGCCTCAGGAGACCATGCTGGGTGAAAGAAACAACAGAAGACAGGACATAAGAGACAAGGACACTTTATGAACTCTGAATAACAAAGAGACTTGAGGAGAACAGCTCCTCTGTGAGAGTCCCTAACCAGCAACATCCAGCCAATAGGAATAGTCTCCCATTCCCTCATGCCTTGTCTTTTGGTTACAGTTAAATTGTCTGTATGTATCTTAAGCGCGCTTTGCTGGTTGGAACAACTGTATTATTTTTGTACATTGCTGTTCCTGTGTCCTCTACTCCTCACCAAATGTCAAAGATCTTTCCTATCCACTATCTCACTGGGCGAGCACATGTCTAAGGATGGACCGAGCTACCAGCTACCCCCGAGTTAGGCATCTATTTATATAAGGTTTATGAGTCAGACAGGGCATCTCTTAACCCTTTGAGGAGCACGGACAGACAGCATATCCTGATTCTTCTTCAGTTCTTATTGAACTCTGAAGTTCCGCAACAGAATACTGAGAATAAGGTTCTAAGAACTCACTCCACAAAGGGCTAAAAGTGACTCTTAGCCACTCAGGGAGCTAGCCATGTTCTGTCTCAGTCTCTCTACTAGCAGTGTCTTCTGCTAGCAGTGTGTTCCTCTCACCTTGTAGCTAAGACAAGACCCATAACCTTGATCAATGTGTACGTAATCTTTGTTTGTGAATTTTACTCACACAGTGTCAAAGGCCGTTCTCCTTTATTCTCAATATTATAACACAATCTGAATTTTCCAAGATAGGATAAAAAAAAAAAGACATCTTTTTAGAACATGTTATTCTTGGGATTTAATGTGGCTTTTGTTGTGATTTTTATTTCTGTTGCTCTGTGTTCTTTTTATTCCCCATAAAAAACAAAATGTACAATGTATATTGTCAGTCAAAGAGTAAACGTGTCACTCAGCTCAATGTATATTGTTGTATGTTGGGATACTTTACATGTGCTTTAAATAATATAATACAAGTATTTCTTCTGAATATGTGAAGTCTGTCTTAAAAATATCAATTCTCTCATCACACACTTGGTTTATTCACATGAAAAGAATAGACCACTTACAGCATACAGAATTGTGGTAATAGTATGGCAACAAGTTCACAATGGAAACATTATTTGCCTAGATACCAATTAATTTCATAATCATATACTTGTTTCTGGGTAATACACCACATATGTTGTACTATAGTATAGAGTAACCATAGCTACAATAACAATATCTGAAAGGAACAGATAGGTGTCAATATTATCGTGATGGCTCCCCCTAGCCTTCCAATAAGCTAAGTGGAGCTTCTGCCATATTTCTCTCACTGATCCAGTCCATCCAGATCTGTGAACACTGAAGTGGTAGGAGCTGGAGGAAGGGGCTAGGGACCAAATGGAACCGGGCCTAAAATCCAATCAAATGTATTCGTCACATACACAGTTTATAGCAGGTATAAAAGGTGCAGCGAAATGGTTATGTGCTAGCTCCCTCAGCAATGCAGTACATTAATCAATAATCAATAATAACAATAAAAAGAGTTGAGAGTCTTATGTATAACACATTAGCCTGGTCCCAGATCTGTTTGTGCTTTTGCGTACTCCATTGTCATTGTTTCGGCATGACAATTCCATAAGGAGTTGGCTAGAGAGCAGAAACAGACACATCACACTCCTAACTGCAGTGGGACCTGGATCATTCAGGATGGCACCACATTGTAAAATGTATTGCACTGAACAGACATGATTTTCTGCAAATAGAAAAGGTATGACATCAGCACCATACATTTTTGTATATCTTCTGCAGCATTGTAAATATTGTACCTCTGAATAAGGCTTAAATGTTGCAAAAAACATTCACACCTTGGGAAAGGAAAAGGAGCCGACTGGGATAAATCCATTGTCCTCAGCAGAGCTGTCACTGACTCCATCCTGTGGCCCACAGTTAGTCCCTTCCCCGAAGTCTCCTTTTCTTCTCCGGCTATGCTGTAGGGGGAGGGGATTGGGTAAAGGTGAAAGAAGATTCCCGGTGGCATCCACCTTTTATTCGAAACCACCTGTCCTCTCACAGATCTGCAGATAAAGAAGATGAGATTAGGAGAGGAATCAAATGCTTCTGAAATACAATAAGGGCCAGTTTCCTGGACACAGATAGTCCTGGACTAAAAATGCAATTTTAATAGAGGTTTTCCATTTAGCATACTTTTCAGTCCATGACAAGGTTTAGCCTAATCCGTGTCTGGGAAACTGTCCAGATGTCTTCAAAAATAAATGGCCTGTCATCACATGGGGACATCACTGAAAATCAATCAGAGCAAATAAATTGGGATAGAATACCTCATCCCCTGGGTGTCTACAGACAGGCAGGCAGGCCTACATAATCTGTTTCCAATCTATTACTTGTTTTTCCCATTATGCCTAATTTAATCTGCTTGAAAAATAGCGGGAGCTGCAAATCCAGTTTATATACACTGAACAAAAATATAAACGCAACATGTAAAGTGTTGGTCTCATGTTTCATGAGCTGAAATAAAAAATCCCAGACATTTTCCATATGCACAAAAAACTGAATTCTCTCAAATTTTGTGCACAAATTGTTTATATCCCTGTTAGTGAGAATTTCTCCTTTGCCAAGATAATACATCCACCTGACAGGTGTGGCATATCAAGAAGCTGATTAAACAGCATGATAATTACACAGGTACACATTGCGCTGGGGACAATAAAAGGCCACTTTAAAATGTGCAGTTTTGTAGCACAACACAATGCACAGACGATGCTGAGGAGTTTTTCTGTCTGTAATAGCGCTTTTGTGGGGAAAAACACATTCTGATTGGCTGGGCCTGGCTTCCAAGTGGGTGGTCCTATGCCCTCTCGGGCCCATTTATGGCTGCACCCCTGCCCAGCCATGTGAAATCTATAGATTAGTGCCTTATGAGTTTATTTCAATTGACTGATTTCCTTATATGAACTGTAACTCAGTAAAATCTTTGAAATTGTTGCGTTTATATTTTTGTTCAGTATAGCATCTAGCGGCTACTATGCCTTGCAGGAAGTAGACTGGTTGCCAGGCAAGTTCTACTCGCAAAGGCAAACTAGCTTTAGGTAGTGTATGATCTGCTGTAGAGTACTGAAATCCACTCCATGGTGAAGGAAGTTTAGTCCGCTGCAGAGAAAACGACGCAGCAGAGAAACTTCAGAGAGCTATTCCTATAATCAAAGTTTCAGCAATTATTTAAAAGCAACTTGCACGTAAAGAAAGAAGCTTATATCCTGCTTGAAAAAATGTCAGTCGCAGGCTTCAAGAAACAATTTTACAAAGCAAGCCAGGTCAGTGAACAAGTTTTTAGTTCGGCTAATGTTATGTTGTATGTTAGCTAGCTAAATTAGCTGAATAGCTAGCGACGTTAGCTTTACTTATGCAATATAGCTAACTAGCTAAATGTGACTTTTGACAAGGAAATATGTGACCCAAATGTTTTCATTTATTAGCTAAATTCTTCAACTTTTTAATTTTGTCTAATGGCTAACTTCAGTGGACTGAAAAGGCCTCGCAAAGTTAAATATTCATAGAGCCAGTGAGTTGGCTATGCTAGTGGTAGCTGTCAGTTCAGCACATATGTGTCGCGTCGTTATGAGATTGACACGTTTCAATTTACTTCGGCTACATTATTTCAATTTACTATAAAAACAGTGTTTGAAAACAGCGCCATTGTTTCGGTGTGTCATTGTTTATGTTAGCTAATTAACTACGCTATGCAAACTAACGTTAAGTGAGTTTCGTATCAGAATGTTGACATGACTCACTTTAAATACTTTCCTCCCTCTTTCTGAGAGTTCAGCAGAAAAATGTCTCCCTTGGAGGAATGGGTAAAGCGGAGTAGAATAGAGGGGAAATAAACTAGCTGTGTGTGATATAACCTTTTCATTTGAGCTCAACTAAGCAGTTATTGTGTCAGGATCTCATTTCATGGACATTTTATGACGATAACTATATATATATATATATATATATATGTATGTGTGTATATGTGTGTCAAACTTCAGATACTTATCTGTACCGCCTTCATTGTCATATGAATGACAACACAGAATGCGCCTCTGAAGTTACCCTCGTGTCCATTTGTTGTTTGTTAGGAGGGACGCAGTGAAGGTTTGGTGTTTCTGGGAGGGAGATGGACATTCCATTCCACCTTGAGCCACCACACTGGTCTCTTCTAAAATCTCTTCCTTGCCCCATCTCCCATTCCCTTCACCTGTCCATCTTCATGAGAAGTGATCTTATGTGTTTGGAGTGATTGTGCCAATTTGCAGATGAGGCCATGATTGATGGTTCCATGGATAGGCCTAGCAGCCATGGCAGGTGTATACCTCACTCACACACTGATTAGCACCTAGATACAAACATGCTTATTACCCTTATGTGGAATGTATCGCCTGTTAAGGAAGTACTTAACCTAACATAGCGGGCGTAAAATGAATGCCTGAAACTAGATCCCCTACATACTGGTCTTGGGGGGAAAAAGCTGTCGCGTCATATGCTTTTTAAAAAATTTCCCCTGAAAACCGGAGGCTAGGAAGTACTAGTGGTGTAACACATAATAGGGTAGTTATTGCATTGGATGGATCTGAGATACATGGTTGTAATTGCAGTGGATGGATCTGAGATACAGGGTTGTTATTGCATTGGATGGATCTGAGATACAGGGTCGTTATTGGATGGACCTGAGATACAGGGTCGTTATTCGATGGATCTAAGATACAGGGTCGTTATTGGATGGATCTGAGATACAGGGTCATTATTGGATGGATCTGAGATACAGGGTCGTTTTTGCAATGGATGGATCTGAGATTCAGGGTTGTTATTGCATCGGATGGGCAGGGTTGTTATTGCATTGGATGGGCAGGGTTGTTATTGCATTGGATGGGCAGGGTTGTTATTGTATTTGACGGATCTGAGATACAGGGTCGTTATTGCATTGGACGGATCTAAGATACAGGGTTGTTATTGCATTGGATGGATCTGAGATACAGGGTTGTTATTGCATTGGATGGATTTGAGATACAGGGTTGTTATTGCATTGAATGGATCTAAGATACATTGTAGCCTTTGCAGATATTAATACAAGCTGCATTTGGCCACAAGTGAAGTAGTTACAGAACAGGTTGTAAGTAGCCCTAAGGAAGTCATCCGACAGCTTTGAGAGAGGCCCATTTCAACGGTTTTTATTTGGTCTTTAGCAAATACTCTCGAGGCCTCCATAATTAGTCACGTAACACAGTGTGTTGTGTGTGTGAACTGGAATGGCCTGACTGTCCCACTCACCTCACTACTATAGAATAGTCTGACAGATTTTTTGGGCAAATGGGTACGAAGGCACCTACAGTGGGGAGAGCAAGTATTTGATACACTGCTGATTTTGCAGGTTTTCCTACTTACAAAGCATGTAGAGGTCTGTAATTTTTATCATAGGTATACTTCAACTGTGAGAGATGGAATCTAAAACAAAAATCCAGAAAATCACATTGTATGATTTTTAAGTAATTAATTTGCATTTTATTGCATGACATACGTATTTGATACATCAGAAAAGCAGAACTTAATATTTGGTACAGAAACCTTTGTTTGCAATTACAGAGATCATACGTTTCCTGTAGGTCTTGACCAGGTTTGCACACACTGCAGCAAGGATTTTGGCCCACTCCTCCATACAGACCTTCTCCAGATCCTTCAGGTTTCGGGGCTGTCGCTGGGCAATACGGACTTTCAGCTCCCTCCAAAGATTTTCTATTGGGTTCAGGTCTGGAGACTGGCTAGGCCACTCCAGGACCTTGAGATGCTTCTTACGGAGCCACTCCTTAGTTGCCCTAGCTGTGTGTTTCGGGTTGTTGTCATGTTGGAAGACCCAGCCACGACCCATCTTCAATGCTCTTACTGAGGGAAGGAGGTTGTTGGCCAAGATCTCGCGATACATGGCCCCATCCATCCTCCCCTCAATACGGTGCAGTCGTCCTGTCCCCTTTGCAGAAAAGCATCCCCAAAGAATGATGTTTCCACCTCCATGCTTCACGGTTGGGATGGTGTTCTTGGGGTTGTACTCATCCTTCTTCTTCCTCCAAACACGGCGAGTGGAGTTTAGACCAAAAAGCTCTATTTTTGTCTCATCAGACCACATGACCTTCTCCCATTCATCCTCTGGATCATCCAGATGGTCATTGGCAAACTTCAGACGGGCCTGGACATGCGCTGGCTTGAGCAGGGGGACCTTGCGTGTGCTGCAGGATTTTAATCCATGACGGCGTAGTGTGTTACTAATGGTTTTCTTTGAGACTGTGGTCCCAGCTCTCTTCAGGTCATTGACCAGGTCCTGCCGTGTAGTTCTGGGCTGATCCCTCACCTTCCTCATGATCATTGATGCCCCACGTGGTGAGATCTTGCATGGAGCCCCAGACCGAGGGTGATTGACCGTCATCTTGAACTTCTTCAATTTTCTAATAATTGCGCCAACAGTTGTTGCCTTCTCACCAAGCTGCTTGCCTATTGTCCTGTAGCCCATCCCAGCCTTGTGCAAGTCTACAATTTTATCCCTGATGTCCTTACACAGCTCTCTGGTCTTGGCCATTGTGGAGAGGTTGGAGTCTGTTTGATTGAGTGTGTGGACAGGTGTCTTTTATACAGGTAACGAGTTCAAACAGGTGCAGTTAATACAGGTAATGAGTGGAGAACAGGAGGGCTTCTTAAAGAAAAACTAACAGGTCTGTGAGAGCCGGAATTGTAACTGGTTGGTAGGTGATCAAATACTTATGTCATGCAATAAAATGCAAATTAATTACTTAAAAATCATACAATGTGATTTTCTGGATTTTTGGGAAAACCTGCAAAATCGGCAGTGTATCAAATACTTGTTCTCCCCACTGTACTAGGCAAGGCCTAGTCACCCTCAAACCCCTGTCATTAAATATCCCTGGGAGAAATGAGGGCGTGGGTGTCTGAGTGTGCAGACTCAGACCCTTATTATGAGGCCATCTGCTATGTTATAGGGGCCTGTTTTGGAAATAGGAGGTCAGTCTGTTGGTGTGTTGTTCACACAGCTGTGAGTGATTGTGGGGTGAGTTGTTCTCCTGGCTCTGGTGTGCTTCGGAATCCTGGCAATGCTGCAGTAGTGCCCAAACCGGATTCCTGGGTTGTTATTAAGCCAGGAGAACAGACTCGGTCAACAGCCTGCCGGTAAACACACACTCACTTCCTCACATGAGAGTAGTAGTATTATTATTATTATTATTATTATTATTATTATTATTTTAATTTTTTTGGGGGGGCGGCAGGTAGCTTAGTGGTTAAGAGCGTTGTGCCAGTAACCGAAAGGTCGCTGGTTCTAATCCCTGAGCCTACTAGATGAAAAATCTGTCGATGTGCCCTTGAGCAAGGCACTTAACCCTAATTGCTCCTGTAAGTCGCTCTGGATACTAGCTGTGCCACTAGAGATCCTGGTTCGAAACAAGGCTCTGTCGTAGCCGGCCGCGACCGGGATACCCATGGGGCGGCGCACAATTGGCCCAGCGTCGTCCAGGGTAGGGGAGGGAATGGCCAGCAGGGATGTAGCTCAGTTGGTAGAGCATGGCGTTTGCAACGCCAGGGTTGTGGGTTCGATTCCCACGGGGGGCCAGTATGAAAAAGATTATGTAGGCACTCACTAACTGTAAGTCGCTCTGGATAAGAGCGTCTGCTAAATGACTAAAATGTAAATGTAAATGGCTAAGAGCGTCTAAAAACAATAATACTTTTAATTGATTATCTAATGGGTTATTCCACTAATTTGGTGCCTTTTCAAATCAAATCAAATTTTATTTGTCACATACACGTGTTTAGCAGATACTATTGCGGGTGTAGCGAAATGCTTGTACTTTGGAAGCAGTGGGTGGTGTGCGCGCCTCCTAAGTCGAACCAGCAGGCCGCTCCGAGTGCCTCTCCTCCACCGGCGATGTTTTGGGTCAGCCGCTGGATTCAGTTCAATTGCCCTGGGAAGAGCAAACAAAGGATCTGCTTCGGTAAAGTCGTATTCCTGGTCGTAATGCTGGTGAGTTACCACCGCTCTGATATCCAATAGTTTTTCCCAGCTGTATGTAATGATACAAAACACTTTCTGAGCTAATAAGGTAAAAAAGAATACATAAAAAAAACAAAATACCGCAAAGTTTCCTGAGAGCTAGTCGCGAGGCCGCCATCTTCGTCGGCACGTGTAAAGAAAAAAAATAAACGGTAATTAAGAGCTTCAACTTCATGAACACATTTTCCTTCTCAAGAGGTTAAATAAAACAATGACTAGGTGCCAAATAAAGTAACAGGGTTGAAGATTTCTTCTAAAATCAGCCATGAATCCCCTTGTGACAGGGGGAATGGAAGCGTGTTGTGTGCAACAGGGAGTGGCAATTGAATGCAAGCTTCACCAAAAAATTGAAATTGTTAAATGTCTAGCCTGTCGATCTATGGGTAACAGGTTCAAATCAAATTTTTGTTGTCACATGCGCAGAATACAACCTTACTGTGAAACGCTTACTTACAAGCCCTTAACCAACAATGCAGTTTTAAGAAAGAATACCCTAAAAAATAAGAAATCAAAGTAACAAATAATTAAAGAGCAGCAGTAAAATAACAATAGCGAGGCTATATACAGGGGGTATCGGCACAGAGTCAATATGCGGGGGCACCGGTCAGTCAAGGTAATTGAGGAGGTGGGGTGGGGTGGTGTGGGGGCAATGCAAATAGTCTGGGTAGCCATTTGATTAGATGTTCAGGAGTCTTATGGCTTGGGGGTAGAAGCTGTTTAGAAGCCTCTTGGACCTAGACTTGGCGCTCCAGTACTGCTTGCCATGCAGTAGCAGAGAGAACAGTCTATGACTAGGGTTGCTGGAGTCTTTGACAATTTTTAGGGCCTTCCTCTGACACCGCCTGGTATAGAGGTCCTGGATGGCAGGAAGCTTGGCCCCAGTGATGTACTGGGCCGTACGCACTACCCTCTGTAGTGCCTTGCGGTCGGAGGCCAAGCAGTTGCCATACCAGGCAGTGATGCAACCAGTCAGGATGCTCTCGTTGGTGCAGCTGTAGAACCTTTTGAGGATCTGAGGACCCATGCCAAATCTTTTCAGTCTCCTGAGGGGGAATAGGTTTTGTCGTGCCCTCTTCACGACTGTCTTGGAGTGCTTGGACCATGTTAGTTTGTTGGTGATATGGACACCAAGGAACTTGAAGCTCTCAACCTGCTCCACTACAGCCCTGTTGATGAGAATGGGGGCGTGCTCAGTCTTCTTATTTTTCCTGTAGTCCACAATCATCTCCTTTGTCTTGATCACGTTGAGGGAGAGGAGGTTGTCCTGGCACCACACGGCCAGGTCTCTGACCTCCTCCCTATAGGCTGCCTCGTCGTTGTCGGTGATCAGGCCTACCACTGTTGTGTCATCGGCAAACTTAATGAGGGTGTTGGAGTCGTGCCTGGCCATGCAGTCATGAGTGAACAGGGAGTACAGGAGGGAGCTGAGCACGCACCCCTGAGGGGCCCCCGTGTTGAGGATCAGCGTGGCGGATGTGTTGTTATCTACCCTTACCACCTAGGGGCGGCCCGTCAGGAAGTCCAGGATCCAGTTGCAGAGGGAGGTGTTTAGTCCTTGGGTCCTTAGCTTGATGATGAGCTTTGAGGGCACTATGGTGTTGAACGCTGAGCTATAGTCAATGAATATCATTCTCACATAGGTGTTCCTTTTGTCCAGGTGTGAAAGGGCAATGTGGAGTGCAATAGAGATTGCATCATCTGTGGTTCTGTTGGGGCGGTATGCAAATTGGAGTGGGTCTAGGGTTTCTTGGATAATGGTGTTGATGTGAGCCATGACCAGCCTTTCAAAGCACTTCATGGCTACAGACGTGAGTGCTACGGGTCGGTAGTCATTTAGGCAGATTACCTTAGTGTTTTTGGTCACAGGGACTATGGTGGTCTGCTTGAAACATGTTGGTATTACAGACAGACAGGGAGAGGTTGAAAATGTCAGTGAAGACACTTGCCAGTTGGTCAGCGCATGCTCGGCGTACACGTCCTGGTAATCCATCTGGCCGTGCGGCCTTGTGAATGTTGACCTGTTTAAAGGTCTTACTCACATTGGCTACGGAGAGCATGATCACACAGTCGTCCGGAACAGCTGATGCTCTCGTGCATGTTTCAGTGTTACTTGCCTCGAAGCGAGCATAGAAGTAATTTAGCTCGTCTGGTAGGCTCGTGTCACTGGGCAGCTCGCGGCTGTGCTTCCCGTTGTAGTCTGTAATAGTTTGCAAGCCCTGCCACATCCGACGAGCGTCGGAGCCGGTGTAGTACGATTCGATCTTAGTCCTGTATTGACGCTTTGCCTGTTTGATGGTTCGTCAGAGGGCATAGCAGGATTTCTTACAAGCTTCCGGGTTAGAGTCCCGCTCCTTGAAAGCGGCAGCTCTACCCTTTAGCTCAGTGCGGATGTTGCCTGTAATCCATGGCTTCTGGTTGGGGTATATACGTACAGTCATTGTGGGGACGACATCATCGATGCACTTATTGATGAAGCCAGTGACTGATGTGGTGTACTCCTCAATGCCATCGGAAGAATCCCGGAACATATTCCAGTCTGTGCTAGCAAAACAGTCCTGTAGCTTAGCATCTGCTTCATCTGACCACTTCTTTATAGACCTAGTCACTGGTGCTTCCTGCTTTAGCAGGAATCAGGAGGATATAATTATGGTCAGATTTGCCAAATGGAGGGCGAGGGAGAGCTTTGTACGCGTCTGTGTGTGGAGGAAAGATGGTCTAGAGTTTTTTTCCATCTGGTTGCACGTTTAACATGCTGGTAGGAATTAGGTAAAACGGATTTAAGTTTCCCTGCATTAAAGTCCCCGGCCACTAGGAGCGCCACCTCTGGATGAGCGTTTTCCTGTTTGCTTATGGCCGAATACAGCTCATTGAGTGCAGTCTTAGTGCCAGCATCGGTTTGTGGTGGTAAATAGACAGCTACGATAAATATAGATGAAAACTCTCTTGGTAGATAGTGTAGTCTACAGCTTATCATGAGATACTCTACCTCAGGCGAGCAAAACCTTGAGACTTCCTTAGATATTGTGCACCAGCTGTTGTTTACAAATATACATAGACCGCCACCCCTTGTCTTACCAGAGGCTGCTGTTCTATCCTGCCGATACAGTGTATAACCCGCCAGCTGTATGTTATTCATGTCGTCGTTCAGCCACGATTCGGTGAAACATAAGATATTACAGTTTTTAATGTCCGGTTGGTAGGATATACGTCCACTTTATTATCCAGCGATTGTACGTTGGCCAATAGTACCGATGGCAAAGGCAGATTAGCCACTCGTCGCCGGCTCCTTATCAGGCACCCCAATCTCCTTCTGCGATATCTCCATCTCTTTCTCCTGCGAATGACGGGGATGAGGGCCCTGTCGGGTGTCTGGAGCAAGTCCCTCTCGTCCGACTCATTAAAGTCAACGTGTTATGTTTTACCCGCTCAGTTTTCCACCAGAAAGAGTAGAACCATCTGACCTGGTTTTACTCTATGATTTGGCTATTCATCGTTTTTTTCAAATGTTTCTCAAAAAAAGTAAATTATAATAAGGAATAGTTTCAACATATTGAAATGAAAGTTCAGTTCATGTAACAGGGTTGGCTTTAAAATGAGGGACAGACGTAAAATGAATCACTAATCACATGAAATAAAATAAAAATCTTCAGAAATGACTTTGTCAAAGCAACAAAATAACTAGGGCTTTACAGGAACCAGGTTTCCTTCCAACTTTTTTATGTGAGTAAAATACATGTCAGATAAGGCCTGATGGAAACAGCAAATTTGTTGGTAAACTTTCCAAATGTTGACAAAACTAAATACGCTAGACAAGGTGGGATCTTTTTGTTTGTAAAATGAATTATGCGAGAAATGACGGTGACAACGCCTTTTATTAGTAAATATTGATATAATAAGCATATGTTGTGTGGTCCTCCCATGCGGTTTTATTAAGCTACAGATGAAATGTTATGAACTTCACAGCGTGGTGAAAGTGCACAGTGATTAGCTTGATGCTGTTTTCCATTAAATATTGAGGGTCTTCTTCTGGTGACATGATGATCGATGCTTGGCTGCCGTTTGACAAATGAATATAATCTCGCTCTTTTGTCCATAATAATCTCATCATGCAGTCTAGGTAGCCAGCCTACCTGCAGTGTATCTGCCATTGGTTAGAGCGCACGTGCAAAGACCTGAGTGGGCACATTCGCTATACCTACAATGCAAAATGTGTATGTGACAAAACGTGATGAAAACCCATTTAACTTGTATTTTTTATTCGGTACATGGGAATTGAACCGCAAAACTGATATTTATGTGCACTATGTCGTCATGCGCAGCGTTTTATCCGCAACAAGTCAATTTGATGGAAACTGGTGGGAAAATGAGCATATTTTCAATATTGGTGCACAATTTCTACTTCAAATATCAAAGGGACGCAAAAGGCACTCATTTTGTGGAACGACCCATAATATCACATTTCAACACCTACGACAACCAGTACCAATACATCATTGCTTAATCTTGTCACTGAACCCAATCTATTTCATACTATTTATAATATCGTATGGGGAAATATTTTGTTGGCTCTTGGCAACATTTGTTGATCATCTTGCTACTCAGGCTTTAAAATCAGTGCCTTTTCATTGCTACATCTTGAACCGCCGATGGAATACTGCTACATTAATGCACAGAGAGGAAAAACTGAGAAGCCGCTGGTCTTAGTCCTATGAACACGCACACCAGAGAGACGTGTTGACAACATGAACAAACACGCCACAAATATATTCCCACTCCCAGGCAGGCCCACCTCTAGTCATGTTATGTTACGTCATGTAGCATAATGAGAACTACAGCTGTCAGTAGCTGTAGTATGAGCACTGGGCATGCTATGTTATCTAATGACGTGTGACTGACTATGGTAACTAGTGATTGGGGAGGGGGAATCGCTACATTTACATATCACAATATTATTTTAGACGATATTATATCGATGCGTTGACTCCAAGTATAGTTTTCTTTTTTTGCTAGGTAGCGTTAGCTAGCACTAGTCAGCTGTACCTGCACCAAAACTCAGGTATTTCTCATCCTATAGCTTGTTCTCGTTCTTCTTTTTTAAATAGTGAGCCAACATGTTTTCAGCACATTTATTTCCATGACTGATCAAAACTCATTTTCTCATGCTCTCTCTTGTCTCTGCAGCTGACATATAGTGAGCAATATGTTGGAACATCAAATCTTGGGCTTTCCCTGACTAAAAAAAATCTTGGTAAACCGAAAGTCGTCTGTTCTTTCGACCAATGATTGGTCAATTTTTAAACATGTATTTTTCCATATAGTCACACCCTATGTGTTTTAATAAAATCAACTATATGCATTGAGCTTGTCTAATGCTTTAAGCTTACTGTTTGATGAAATAAGACACAAATGACTCAAGAAGGAGCCAGAGATCTAGATAACCAGAATAAAAAAACCTTAACCTTACCCAACCATTCTCCTCCCTCTCCTGCTGGCTTTCACAGATTCTGCCATTACTCTCCTGAAGTTGCCGGTAATAGGCTACACAAGGAGTCGGCAACCTTTCTCATGTGGAACGCCAGTTTATCTTACCATTTCTACCGATCTACGTGCCAGTTATGGTTTTCATATGCACATTTTCGTGGAACAGTTTCATTTATAATAACGTCTTCATAACTCAAAATCATTGTCATGTCGTTAATCAAAGTTCTATCCAAATCTAAATAAAAATGATACAAACCTAAAATGTAACTTCCGTTGCCAACTATGTAAAAATAGCCTACATAAAGCCAACAAATAAAAACATTGCAGCCTGCAGGTAGAAAATATCCTGATTTTGAAATAAATATCCTATAAATCATATTGGCTACGCTTGGCCTGTCTGCAATGAACTTGAAACATCGCATCAACTATTAACTTGGGTCCGGCCTGAAGCTTGCATTAGCGAACTTGCAACATTGTATAAAATATTCTGGGCCCTCAGAGTTTCCCGAGCTCGGGACAGACACAGCTGTAGGCTATTTGCGCAAGGGATAAGAAGCAGTGCTTGACTTGGGCAGGAGCTCACCGGAGCTGAGTACCGACACCTCACATTTTCTGCTGCTTGAGCTCCTGTACCTCTTATAGAATATTAGCTCAAAAGTATTGTGGAGCTCCTGCATCTAAATATAAACAGTACCAGCACCCAAAATGAGTAGCGGAACCTATTTCAGGCCAAGTCAAGCACTGATAAGAAGTAATCAGGTAGACCTTTTTTATGATGTTTCCACTGGATCAGAGAATGACATTTTTCCCTTTCACACGGAGTGGTTATCGAAAGGGAGAGAGCTGGAAAGATTTTTCAAATATATTGAGGAACTATTGTCATTCTCAATTATCTAAAAACAGACTTTGTTTCCTTGCTGTTTGAGATGAAGAAAACATTACTTTGAGAAGCTCCACAGGTCATTAGTGGTGGTGCGTTAAGCCACTCAGAAGTCCACTCCGACAATGAGAACGGTAAAAGGAAGAATAAAATATTGAAGGAATTAACAGAAATTACCGTAACCAAACAAACATTGTAGATTCGAAATTATAGGAATTAACGGTAAATGTACTACTGGTGATATACTGTATGTAATGGGGAATTGATAGACACTAACAATCAAACGCAAACAATTCACACAATGAAGTTATGAAACAATGAATGTGCACAAATTGGCGGGAGAGAAGTGCATTCTGGGCGCTGTATGGTCAATCCGACGTCTGCGTTGGCCATGCAGCATTTATGGTGATACGGCCTCTGCAGAAGTCAGGGCATTCATACTTCTTGCGCTTCACGTGGGAGCAGTGCTGAGCTGTTGTGAAGGAAGTTTTCAAGGAAATTAGTTCGTGTTTATACAGGATGTACCGCCCCCACCTACCGTCAACCAATCATGTCAATGCGGAGCTATACAGAGCCCTCCACATTGTTACAACATTTGGAAGGCACGTGGCGATGCGGTACGGAGCTCGATTTGGCCTCTGCATGCCTCCGGAGGCGCCGCAATTGCGTCAATCCCTCCATATGGACCCACTGGCAACATTTTCGGATCAAGCATAAATTGGCTTTTAGTCTAGGCCTCCGCAATGGATTAGTTCACTGAGATGGGCGCAAATAAATATATATACAGCTCTGGAAAAAATTAAGAGACCACTGCAAATCTTATTTAACAAGGAAAAGCAATAGGACCAGCTGGATGGCAAAAACAGTGCTAATAGTACTTCAAAAGTAATATTAATCAGAAAATAACTATTGACCATGCCAGAAGAGGAAAGTTTTGAGTGAGGAAAAGAAGGGTTCAATTCTGGCTTTACTGGCAGAGCGATACAGGGAGCGTCTGGTTGCTTCCATCCTTAAAATTTCAAAGACGGCGGTTCATAAGAACAAGGTCAAGCAGCAGACATTGGGGACAACAAAGCTACAGACCGGCAGAGGGCAAAAACGACTCTCTACTGACCGGGATGACCGCCAACTCATTCAAATGTCACTCAACAACCGTAGGATGACATCAAGTGACCTACAAAAAGAATGGCAAATAGCAGCTGGGGTGAAGTGCACGGCCAGGACGGTTCGAAACAGGCTCCTAGGGGCAGGGCTGAAGCCGTGCAAAGCTAGAAAAAAGCCCTTCATCAATGAGAAGCAAATAAAAGCCAGGCTGAGGTTTGCAAAAGACCATAAGGATTGGACCGTAGAGGACTGGAGTAAGGTCATCTTCTCTGATGAGTCCAATTTTCAGCTTTGCCCAACACCTGGTCGTCTAATGGTTAGACAGAGACCTGGAGAGGCCTACAAGCCACAGTGTCTCGCACCCACTGTGACATTTGGTGGAGGATCGGTGATGATCTGGGGGTGCTTCAGCAAGGGTGGAATCGGGCAGATTTTTCTTTGTGAAGGACGCATGAATTAAGCCACGTACAAGGTTGTCCTGGAAGAAAACTTGCTTCCTTTTGCTCTGACATTGTTCCCCAACGCTGAGGATTGGTTTTTCCAGCAGGACAATGCGCCATGCCACACAGCCAGGTCAATCAAGGTGTGGATGGAGGACCACCAGATCAAGACCCTGTCATGGCCAGCCCAATCTCCAGACCTGAACCCCATTGAAAACTTCTGGAATGTGATCAAGAGGAAGATGGATGGTCGATGGTCACAAGCCATCAAACAAATTCGAGCTGCAATAATTTTTGCGCCAGGAGTGGCATAAAGTCACCCAACATCAATGTGAAAGACTGGTGGAGAGCATGCCAAGACGCATGATAGCTGTGATTGAAAATCAGGGTTATTCCACCAAATATTGATTTCTGAACTCTTCTTAAGTTAAAACATTAGTGTTACTTATTTTCTTTGCATTATTCGAGGTCTGACAACACTGCATATTTTTTGTTATTTGGCCAGTTGTCATTTTCTGCAAATAAATGCTCTAAATGACAATATTTTTATTTGGAATTTGGGAGAAATGTTGTCAGTAGTTTATAGAATAAAACAAAAATGTTAATTTCACCCAAACACATACCTATAAATAGTAAAACCAGAGAAACTTATATTTTTGCAGTGGTCTCTTAATTTTTTCCAGAGCTATGTATGTATGAAATGTATGTATGAAATGTATGTATGTATGTATGTATGTATGTATGTATGTATGTATGTATGTATGTATGTATGTATGTATGTATGTATGTATGTATGTATGTATGTATGTATGTATGTATGTATGTATGTATGTATGTACGACTCGAAATTGAGATGAGGTGCATCCTGTTTCCATTGATCATCCTTGAGATGTTTCTAGAATTTCATTGAAGGAGGTCGAAGGAATTGTCCGTAGAGCTCCGAGACAGGATTGTGTCTAGGCACAGATCTGTGGAAGGGTACCAAAAAAGTTCAGCAGCATTGAAGGTCCCCAAGAACACAGTGGCCTCCATCATTCTTAAATGGAAGAAGTTTGGAACCACCAAGACTCTTCCTAGAGCTGGCCGCCTGGCCAAACTGAGCAATCGGGGGAGAAGGGCCTTAGTCAGGGAGGTGACCAAGAACCCGATGGTCACTCTGACAGAGCTCCAGAGTTCCTTTGTGGAGATGGGAGAAGGACAACCATCTCTTCAGCACTCCACCAATCAGGCCTTTATGGTAGAGTGGCCAGACGGAAGCCACTCTGTAGTAAAAGGCACATGACAGCCCGCTTGGTGTTTGCCAAAAGGCACTTAAAGACTCTGACCATGAGCAACAACATTCTCTGGTCTGATGAAACCAAGATTGAACTCATTGGCCTGAATGCCAAGCGTCACGTTTTGAGGAAACCTGGCACCATCCCTGGATTTGTTTTTTTTAATCAATTTTAGAATAAGGCTGTAACGTAACAAAATGTGGAAAAAGTCAAGGGGTCTGAATACTTTCCGAATGCACTGTATTAGCCTTGGAGACAGCTGCACTAAGTCACATGGTGAACGAATAGGCTCTACAATGAGTCTGTTTGATTTTGATGACCTGCCAATCAACCCAATGCTTCTGGTGCTTGTTTGTGTGCGCGTGCGTGTCTCTATCTGTGAAAAAGTGTTCCTGTCTGTCTGCGACTGCGTTTTGTAACTGTTTTAATGTGTAAAACGTGTGCTTATTTATGTAGTGTATAGAGAAGGAAACGGTCTGTGGTTAGGTCTTCTCTGCTGATACAGGGCTAACCAGAGTAAGCTGCTACAGAGGAAGTGAGACTGAATGACCTCAAGACTTTTACTGCCAGGAGTAGCCTAGTCATGTCCTTTAATGAACCAGCACAGACTAGAGGAAAGTACACGTTCTCCATCATGAGGTCCATGCAACATTTCATTTCTATATGCTACTGTTCTGTCTGAATTAGGACGGCTTTGTTGTGATGGAAAAGTCATGTCCCGTGCAGAATGGATGTAAAAGACTTGTATTGAACGTATTATTCTCCTCCCTCTCCTTCTGCCTGGTCCTTTTGTAGATGGTCAGTGAGAAGGTGGGAGGTGCAGAAGGAACCAAGCTGGATGAAGACTTCAAAGATCTGGAGAAGGTAAGTGCTCTCTCCCAAACTAACAAAAATACATTCCTATTAACCTATGATTGGATTCCTATTGATCTGTTTTGTCAGAGTAGATTGTACATTCACTGTCTCTCCCTCTTCCCCTCCCCACAGAGGGCAGATGTGACCAGTAAAGCGGTTGTGGATGTCATCTCTAAAACGTCTGAGTACCTGCAGCCCAACCCAGCTTCCAGAGCCAAGCTGACCATGCTGAACACGGTGTCTAAGATGCGGGGCCAGGTGAAGAGCCCTGGCTATCCCCAGGCTGAGGGGCTGCTGGGAGAGAGCATGGCCAAGTTCGGACGAGAGATGGGAGAGGACACCAACTTTGGTAAGAAAGAGATTGATTTCATAAACTACCATAAAAGTTTGTGTCCTAGCCTTTGGCTCTCAAAATACTGAATTCCAGGTGCGTTTGTGTGTGAAGTAGGGACCACGTACTCAACAGAAGAACCTTGTCCTTTGTTGTGGCCGGTGAGGGGATACCCACTCTCATGTAACTGTTTGTCCTGTAGGTGGCGCCCTGGTGGACGTGGGCGAGTCCATGAAGAGGCTGGCTGAGGTCAAAGACTCCCTGGACATCGATGTCAAACAGAACTTTATCGATCCATTGCAGGCCGTCGTCGACAAGGACATCAAAGACATCCAGGTAGAGACCTAGAATGAGATGAATGAGGGATTCTCAACTCTCCCCCAACGTTACACATTTTTGTTCTAACCCTGCACAATAAACTAATGGAGGGCTCTCTCCTCCCTCCTCAGCACCATCTGAAGAAGCTGGAGGGCAGGCGTCTGGACTACGACTATAAGAAGAAACGCCAGGGGAGGATCCCAGACGAGGAGCTGAGGTCAGCCCTGGAGAAGTTCCACGAGTCCAAAGAGATGGCCGAGAGCTCCATGCACAACCTGCTGGAAACTGACGTGAGCCATACCTCAGGGGTCAAGGGTTAGAGTTGAGGGGTCCAGGGAGTCATGCCAGAGACGGACAGCCACAATCAATCAATCTCATTTTATTTGTGTAGTGCTTCGTACAAATGAATTGGTCGCAAAGTGCTTACTTTAACAGCAACATATGTGCCTAAACTGGTCAAAAGCAACTAGAAACAACAGTAGCAAGGAAAATCTCTTTAGTTAGGAAGAAAGAGAGGCTATTTTCTATTGGTTGGCTGGGTAGAAGTTCAGAGCTAGTATGACTGTCATGCCATATGAGGCGTCATGCTCCCAAACCATAAAGCCCAGTAGGGGCTTCAACATCTGTTATCGTTGGCATTAACACGAGCATTGGCATTAGCATTAGCACTGGCGGTAGCATTGGCATCAACGTTGGCATTAGCATTGATGAGTATTTCAGGACCAGAATGCAGTAAGCTTGCCACGACTCCATAGCTAGCGAGTGGAACAGTTATGTAATGTCACAGTAATGTGTATTAGGTGACAATTCTAGTTTTCCACTATGACACTGCAACCTAAGAACGTGTCAAACTCGTTTGAGATGGCCTGTCTCTGGTAATGACCTTTTTATTTCATCAGGTGAGGGGACTGAGTACAACACGTGTTAGTGGCGTGTTAGTCAGAAACAAAGCAGTTTCGAGAGTCCGAAAATTGACCTCAGGGTGGTGAGGGTGTGGGGAGAACAGAAGTGTAAATTTACCATAGTAATGGCATTTCTAGTCCAGTCCCCCTGGTAATGGCATTTCTAGTCCAGTCCCCCTGGTAATGGCATTTCTAGTCCGGTCCCCCTGGTAATGGCATTTCTAGTCCAGTCCCCCTGGTAATGGCATTTCTAGTCCGGTCCCCCTGGTAATGGCATTTCTAGTCCAGTCCCCCTGGTAATGGCATTTCTAGTCCGGTCCCCCTGGTAATGGCATTTCTAGTCCGGTCCCCTGTATTGATCAATCTGACTGGTCTCTGTGCTTGTCTCTAGGTAGAGCAGGTGAGTCAGATGGCTTCTCTGGTAGATTCCCAACTGCAGTATCACAAACAGGCTGTGCAGATTCTGGAGGAGCTGACTGACAAACTCAGAGACAGGTGGGTCAGCTGTGTGTGTGTGTGTGTAGACTTCTACAATTCAGTTGAAGCTGTCTGTGTTGGTTGTCATTGTGTGTGTGTCCGTGTGTATTTACATGTGTGACTGATTCATCCCCACTGCTGTGTGTGTATCAGGGTGAACGAGGCCCAGTCTCGCCCCAGGCGTGAGTACACTCCTAAACCCAAAGCCTCCTTTGATTACGAAGAGCAGGAGCACTCAAATGGAGAATACTTCCCCCCTTCATACTCCTCAGGTAAGACTGGCCCTTAGCTGTGTGTGTGTGTCTCTGTCACTCTCTGTGTCTCTGTGTGTGTCTCTCTCTGTGTGTCTCTCTCTCTGTGTGTGTCTCTCTCTCTCTGTGTGTCTCTCTGTCTCTGTGTGTGTCTGTGTGTCTCTCTCTGTGTCTCTGAATGTCTCTCTCTCTGTGTCTCTGTATGTCTCTCTGTGTGTATCTCTCTATTGTAGTATTGTCTCACCAGCCCAGAACTGATCTTTCTCTATGTATAAATCCCCCCTTGTAGATGTCTCGTCCTTCCACAGAACACCGTCCATGAAGAACAGTCGACACTGTGAGTGTGTGTGATTCTGTGATTGAGGGTGAAAGAGTGGCAATTAAAACATGGTACTTAATCTCACTTCAGTCCAGGAGAGTGTTTTACTAACATGGAATGGTGTGTGTGGGATGCTTTAACCCTTACCACAGCCGACTCACTTCAGTTCACTTCATTGTTGCAGCAATTCAGCCTTTTTATTTTGTATTTAGTATTTTTTTACCCCTTTTTCTCCTCAGTTAGTAGTTAGTCTTGTCCCATTGCTACAACTCCCGTACGGACTCGGGAGAGGCGAGGTCGAGAGCCATGCGTCCTCCGAAACACGACCCTGCCAAGCCGCACTGCTTGTTGACACACTACCCGCTTAACCCGGAAGCCAGCCGCACCAATGTGTTGGAGGAAACACTGTACAACTGGCGACCGAAGTCGGCGTACCTGCGCCCGGCCCTCCACAGGAGTCGCTAGAGCGTGATGGGACAAGGACATCCCGGCCGGCAAAACCCTCCCCTAACCCGGACGACGCTGGGCCAATTGTGCACCGCCTCATGGGTCTCCCGGTCGCAGCCGGCTGCGACACAGCCTGGGATCGAACCCGGGTCTGTAGTGACGCCTCTAGCACTGCGATGCAGTGCCTTAGACCGCTGCGCCACTCGGGAGGCAATTCTGACATTTTGCATGGCAATATGCAATGATTTTTATATTTTTTATTTTTTTTAAATGCGCTGACGAGGGAAAACGTTTGTTGACGTGTGGCTTGATTGAGCCATATTATGCGGTAAATATGCGGTAATTGGTTGAATTTGCGAGCCCTCTTTTTGTACTGCGGTGATGGGTCAGTTTTATGTGATAATATTGCTATGATTTGACTGTTTAATGTAGAACTAGTGCAGTGATTGGTCAAATTTGCAAGCCCTCGCATAATATGCAGGGAATTGTTGATTTTGCAAAATAATTTGCGATCACAGAATCGCGGAATCCTGGAGGGACTAAACTAACCCCGCGCACTGGATCTGGTAACAGGTAACGTCTCCCTTCAACCCTGTGAGCCCAGCGGTTTGGACGTTTCTGAAGTGTTCTGGTTCCTCTCCTGCCTCTCCCTCATCTAAACTCTAGAAGTGGTTCTGGTTTGAAAAGCAAAGCTGCTGACCCCGTTTCAGAACGTCAAATTAAAGTTTCCTTTCTCTCTTCAACACATTCCTCCCCCTTCCTTCTCCCCAGCCTCTGAGCCGTGCGCTAAGGCCCTGTATGACTTTGAGCCGGAGAACGAGGGCGAGCTGGGCTTCTGCGAAGGCGACGTCATCATGCTGACCAACCGCATCGACGAGAACTGGTTGGAGGGCACGATCCGCGGCCAATCAGGATTCTTCCCCAACAACTACGTGGAAGTGGTGGTGCCCCTGTAACACTGAGAGAAAGAGAGGAAGGGAGGGATGAGGAGGGAAGGAGGAAGAAGGGAGGAGAGCGGTAGATGAGAGGGGCATCTCAATAGTCTAAAGTGGCCTCCTCCTCCCGTTCAAAAATGCAGGACGGAAGAAAGCAGTTCCTACAAGGAAATATCAGTATGAAAAAACGAGGCGAGAGGAGGTCACTTTAGATTATTGAGATTCACCTAAAGATGGATGGTAGAAAAAGTGGGAGGAAGAGGAAGATGTTGATGGAGAGAAAGGTTAGCACAAGGAAGGTGTATCTTCGTTTTAATTCTCTGTGCACTTTCTACACTACACCTCCCTTAACGGGACATATGGAGACGGGGTTACTAGAGGATATGTTTGTGTCATTATGTGTGACCTGTACCCATGAACACTACCAGAGGTGTGCTGTGAGCAGACCTAGAAAAAAACCTGCAACAAAATTGCCTTGAAATTGTTGCCTTTAATCACCAATTTACTTTATTGCCCTTAATTCTAGGCAAAATGGTTAAATATGTTTTGTTCTTCCACAATTGGGAATCATTGCACCAAAATTTTAATGCACACTTTTTCTTATATAAAAACAAAATCCACACACCAATTATTTTCCTCCCTGACTTGGAGAGTTAGATGGATCTTGGCTTTAGCTGTCCAATGCTGCCCTCTGGTGGTCTAAGCCTGTTATACCTTCAGGAGTAGGACGACGTTGCCCAAAGAGACTGATCTAAGATCAGTTTAGTAGGTTTCCCCCTAAAGGTTAAGGTTAGAATGTGGGAATGGTAAGCTGAACCTAGAACTGTGCCTATGGGCTAGTCCTACCTGGAGCAGATCTACTCCTTTACATCAGTGCAGATTTGAATGGTTATTTTTCTAATCCATCCCATACCTGTTAAATGTGATTGTTCAGCTTTTCTCTGGGTCTAAACTTACGTGAATAGCTTGCCTGTTTGTACTTAAGCCAAAGTGACCATTTCCTTGGCAAGGCAAAGATATGGTGTTGTTGGAAACAGTTGGGCACCTAGGCTAGTGAATAACTGTAAGGAATGGTCATTGTCTGTTGGCATACACAGCTCTACAGGTCAGTTATACGATGGCTCTAAACACTATCTCCGTTTAGTACTGTTACAGCTGCTAGGCTGCCTTTCATAGACTCTGAAAATCTAAATTGCTTTCTCCTCGTCTCCTTCTCAAACCCATTGGATGAGAACGCCAGCGGTCTGTCCCCTCTGACCTTCTCATCCAATGGGTTTTGAGAAGGAGAGGCGGGTGCGAGGAGTATGCAATTGAGATCTTCCTTTTGTCTGCTATACCCCTTTGCCTTCCTCTCCCTCTGTCTGTGTCTTATTTATGCTAACTCTTATATGGTCAGATGATCAAAAATTGGGAACTTTCCATTACCAAGTGCTTTGTTCTGATTGTGTTGTGTTCTAACTCTGATTTGGAGCAATCTGCTCCTTCTGATGTAACCCTGTGTGCCTGAGGGCTGAAACCAGAGTAACAGTGTAGAGTGACCTATGATTAACTTGCTACAGTCGGTCTGCATACTGTGCGTGTGTTAGTGGTGCGTGGGTCAGCTGTTTGTTCACCTGCACCCACCCGAAATTGCTAATAACCCATCTGCAACCGCTTGACTATATGTGATCAATTGAAAGTCTGAGACCCGCCCCGACCCTAACCCGCAAATATAGAAAATGCGCTATAGGCTACAGTCAAAGACGGCAGAAAGGTTTTTTTGACAGAGGGTGCAGGATTTTTTTTTGCCTTATTTAGATATGTTTCTGCTTATAATTCCTGACATTCATTTTGGTAGGCTATTTGTTAGTCGACTTGTCAATAATTGGATACATACAGCTTCTCTTCTGTCATTATATGTTGCCATAGAAGACTAAATAAACCCTTGCTCACTAGAATGTCATAAATTTATAGAACGAATGCTTCAGTCTAGTTAACATCGGTAAAGTTTTCTGTCATCTTCTTTCACAGAGCAAAGACACATTTTGGGGGGAAAGATTTTCTGTGCAAGATTTCCAAATGACATCAGTTTGACTGTTTGCAAGGAAATAGAAAGCTGTGAAAACGACCCAACATGTTTCTGACAAGATTTCAGTTCGGCTTGGATGAGTATTTTATGTGGTTTGAAATACAAGCATTCGCATTCTCTCAAGATGCTGAAAAAAAGAAATCATATTTCTCCACTCATGTTCCCAAGTCCAAATTGTTCCTACATTTACTGTATCATTTTACTGCAGGAAATGCTTCATTCGGCAGGAGTTAATATTAAGTATTTGTGAGAGGTTATAGACCTACATACAGTCAGTGTCCAGATTTCAGTTTCCATTTAACCCATCTAAACAGTAGGCAACAGATCCCTTCACATGCCATAGGCCTATTTGAAGTTCCCGTCTTGTGACTGTCGAATTTGTTTAGTGCCTCACAATCATCACACATAACATAGCCGGCACTGCTATCATCCTCGTTTACCACTTCACCAAATCTGTCCCAAACATTTATTTTCTGGCCCTCCCTTCTCTTTATTTTCAACTCTCCTTTCGCAGCGTTTCCCTTATTGAAACTCCGACATTGTTATTTTTGCCTCCATGGATTGCCGTTGTTATGCCTGTTCCTAAAAGTGATTGGTGTGTAGGCTATTTGGCGCGTACAGTTAGGCCCTAAAGTTTAGGTTTTTGCACTAATGCCAGATAGCCTAAAATAATGAAAGAAAAACTTCAATGTAGCCTAAAGATATAAATTAAACAAGAATTATACATTTATGGATTTTTTAAAGGTATTATTTTGTCTTTATTCAACCTGCCCGCCACCCACCTGCCCTTCATCCACACAATATTTAATGACCCTAAACCCGTCCGCCTGGATGATATAACCGCGGGGGCTGCGTGTAATGAGTCAACCTGCGCATAACCAGAGTGTGTGTGTCAGAATGGTCTGTCTGTCTCTCTGTGCTTTTTGACACTGCTGGCCATGTCTTGGAGAATGTATTCAGGTTTTCTAGAGCTTCCTTTAGAAAGTGCATGCATTTACACATGCTGCCAAAAGGAGATTTGAAAGAAGGGTCGTTTTGTATTTACACGTGTCACCCCCATGGTGGTAGGTAGAAATAGGCACAGGACAGCTTAACCCCTCTCTCCACTCCTTCCCTAGAACATGCAGCTTGCTACCAAAAACCCCTCATATCCTATGTGCATTAACTAAGCATGTTCCTCCTAACTTAATGTTTACATGTCTCTTGTCTATTGGGCTATATTTGTTGGGTTAACATGGTTTGGGTTTTAGTGCCTCTGTCAGTGTTTAGGTTCAGGTGTGGGTTATCACGGCCCATTAGCCTAAATAAAAGGAACTAGGCAGGCAGGGGGGAAAGGGGCTCAGGTTGTGCTAAGTACCTTGTTTACCGGTGTCTGAGTAATATAACAAAGGGCTCAGATCAAGTATGTCCGTTTTTGCGGACGTGTGTGTCGTGGTCTCCAACTATTCTAATGCCGTTGGTGACATTCTATTTATGTTTTTCACTCTACATTCGAAGATGAGTATTTCTACCAAATCCCACAGGAGTACCATGTTATTTTGATATTACGAAAATAAGTATTATTTTACTTAATAATAATAGCTTGATTTTAATATACAGAATCATATTGTAAAGTGCCCATTGTAATTTGCTCGTTGCCTGCATGTGGCTATAGGTTATGCGTCTTGCTTCAGCGATGATGCCTCATTTTGAGGTTCTGTTTTTTTTTATAACTGTGACGCTCTCCGCGGATCGAGGTTTGAACGAAGGCAGAGTTAAATTCTGGATTAGCTTTATGTGGATTATCTTTATATTATCTTTATATTGTCATGTATAATCTCCTGTGTATTGTATATTTTTGCCACGATGTAAATGGGGAATGCTGTGCCTCTTAAATAAATATGAAGGAAAGTGAAGTGGCCCTCAGTCTGCTGGTTGTGTCTTCAGGTTTACAATTACTTTTACATTTACATCATTTAGCAGACGCTCTTAACCAGAGCGACTTACAAACTTATGATAGCCAGTGGGACAACCACCTGTTTTTTTTTATTTTTACGGGGGGTAGGGGAAGAAGGATTACTTTATACAATTCCAGGTATTCCTTAAAGAGGTAGGGTTTCAAGTGTCTCCGGAAGGTGGCCAGCGGTCAAGGATGAGTTGATGAGCGGGGTGAGGTAAGGAGAAGGTCAATGCATGATTGGATTGATTGTTTTCTTTTTGGGGGTGATGTGAATGATACCCACATTTTACATATAAATGACACTTTTCAGTAAAGTTTCTCTCATTCATTCTTTAAGTATAGCTGTCTATTATACACATATTTTGATTGACATTCTCCTGTAGGTAGCCAAAATTAATAGCGTTATCTAATCAGTGGTTTCAAAAACAAGTCGATTGTCAAAAAATACATTAATTTCCAAGCAGGTGTGTGTGTGTTAGACTATTCAAGCAATATATTTGAGATGTCACAACCAATCGCTCACCCTACTGAAGAAGCCTAACCAAATCAATCAACGCAAACTGCACAATAAACCACACAATGACATCTCCTATACTGACTGACACATCTACAGTGGGGGAAAAAAAGTATTTAGTCAGCCACCAATTGTGCAAGTTCTCCCACTTAAAAAGATGAGAGAGGCCTGTAATTTTCATCATAGGTACACGTCAACTATGACAGACAAAATGAGAAAGAAAATCACATTGTAGGATTTTTTATGAATTTATTTGCAAATTATGGTGGAATATAAGTATTTGGTCAATAACAAAAGTTTCTCAATACTTTGTTATATACCCTTTGTTGGCAATGACACAGGTCAAACGTTTTCTGTAAGTCTTCACAAGGTTTTCACACACTGTTGCTGGTATTTTGGCCCATTCCTCCATGCAGATCTCCTCTAGAGCAGTGATGTTTTGGGGCTGTCGCTGGGCAACACAGACTTTCAACTCCCTCCAAAGATTTTCTATGGGGTTG